CTGGGCTGTTTTACAGTGTTGATTCAGATATGTAAGTCACTGACTGAAGCTTGGACAGAACAGCATCCTGCATGCAATAATATCACAGTAAACAGGTCCTTGATAATGTGAGAAATCAGGAGAGCACTTGTGAGTTTGCTATTTTTTCAGTGGTTGCTCTGCAGTATCCTGCATGTGCAGTATCAACCTGCACAATATCCTACATGTGTACCATCAGCCTGTACCATCCTACATGTGCACTATCAGCTTGCACAGCATCCTACATGTGTACTATCAGCTTGCACAGCATCCTACATGTGTACTATCAGCCTGTACAACATCCTACATGTGTACTATCAGCCTGTACAACATCCTACATGTGTACTATCAGCCTGTACAACATCCTACATGTGTACTATCAGCCTGCACAGCATCCTACATGTGCACTATCAGCCCACACAGCATCCTATATGTACACTATCAGCCTGCACAGCATCCTATATGTGCACTATCAGCCTGTACAACATCCTACATGTGCACTATCAGCCCGCACAGCATCCTATATGTGCACTATCAGCCTGTACAACATCCTACATGTGCACTATCAGCCCGCACAGCATCCTATATGTGCACTATCAGCCTGTACAACATCCTACATGTGCACTATCAGCCCACACAGCATCCTATATGTACACTATCAGCCTGCACAGCATCCTATATGTGCACTATCAGCCTGTACAACATCCTACATGTGCACTATCAGCCCGCACAGCATCCTATATGTGCACTATCAGCCTGTACAACATCCTACATGTGCACTATCAGCCCGCACAGCATCCTATATGTGCACTATCAGCCTGTACAACATCCTACATGTGCACTATCAGCCCGCACAGCATCCTATATGTGCACTATCAGCCTGTACAACATCCTACATGTGCACTATCAGCCCGCACAGCATCCTATATGTGCACTATCAGCCTGTACAACATCCTACATGTGCACTATCAGCCCGCACAGCATCCTATATGTGCACTATCAGCCTGTACAACATCCTACATGTGCACTATCAGCCCGCACAGCATCCTACATGTGCACTATCAGCCCGCACAGCATCCTACATGTGCACTATCAGCCCGCACAGCATCCTATATGTGCACTATCAGCCCGCACAGCATCCTATATGTGCACTATCAGTCCGCACAGCATCCTATATGTGCACTATACAAACTTGATCCTGTATTTGTGAAATATAATCTCACAACTATATGAGGACAAGGTTTAACAAATTTATCATCAAATATTTCTGACTGCACCGCAGTGTTCTTGGTGCAAGTGAAAAAAATTGCTCGTATCACGGTGAAATTTATTATCGCAATTGTAACCAAGCGCTAAACCCACAAGTCATACAGCTCTCACAGTGGAACCTGATTCTTATAATGGGGCCCAAATGAGTTTGTTCAGATGAGGTTGTAGAGAGTGAACATATTGGAGGTATGCCTGAAGAGGGTTTTAGGGGTCAACACCTCCATGACCAGGTCTCATGGTGGATCAGGGCCTGATCAACCATGCTGTTACTGCTGGCCACATGCAAACCAACATACGAATCACAGCCTGGCTGATCAGGTACCAACTTTAAGTATCTGTCCAGTGCCTCTTCAAAACAACCAGGGGTGGTATGTGTTTGTGGGGCATGTTGATAATTAAGACACGAGCAACACTTGGTAAGCTCAATAATAACCCACATGGAGGCAGAACCACAGGGGCTTGATTGATCTGTATATTTCGACCTCCTTCTGAGGTCCTCTTTAGCAGAAGAGGGTCCCAGAAGGTGGTCGAAATATACAGATCAATCAATCTCCTGTAATTCTGTCTCCCTGTGGTTCATTATTGAGCATTAACAAACGTTTATTACACTTTAGTTATTCAACAGATTGGATATCGTTATTGTTAAAATCTTTCACCCACACAGTAGGCCTCTTCAGTCAAACAGCAGTAGCAGGTGTAGCAGTCACATGAAGATGAGGTAATCAGTCCACCTTTGAAGAAATAATATTTGAGGTGCTACTACACCTGCTGTCTCTTTATCTGACTGAAGAGGCCTAGTAAGTAAGTAAGCTTATTCAGGTATACACAAATACGTACAGTTACATAGATCATCATACATAGCAGCATGTGTGTAGAGAACCTGGGATAACCCAAAAAAGTCAGTGACTTATTTCTGCTGGGGTCCTTTTAATACCTTATTATACTATAAAGGGAATAATATCTTATTATTACACATAAAGTGGGAGTTGTCACAGTTGCTCTTTGCTGATGACACTGTGCTCTTGGGAGATTCTGAAGAGAAGTTGCAGAGGTTGGTGGATGAATTTGGTAGGGTATGTAAAAGAAGAAAATTAAAAGTGAATACAGGAAAGAGTAAGGTTATGAGGATAACAAAAAGATTAGGTGATGAAAGATTGGATATCAGATTGGAGGGAGAGAGTATGGAGGAGGTGAATGTATTCAGATATTTGGGAGTGGACGTGTCAGCGGATGGGTCTATGAAAGATGAGGTGAATCATAGAATTGATGAGGGGAAAAGGGTGAGCGGTGCACTTAGGAGTCTGTGGAGACAAAGAACTTTGTCCTTGGAGGCAAAGAAGGGAATGTATGAGAGTATAGTTTTACCACCGCTCTTATATGGGTGTGAAGCATGGGTGATGAATGTTGCAGCGAGGAGAAGGCTGGAGGCAGTGGAGATGTCATGTCTGAGGGCAATGTGTGGTGTGAATATAATGCAGAGAATTCGTAGTTTGGAAGTTAGGAGGAGGTGCGGGATTACCAAAACTGTTGTCCAGAGGGCTGAGGAAGGGTTGTTGAGGTGGTTCGGACATGTAGAGAGAATGTATTAAGTCTGTAGTGGAAGGAAGGCGGGGTAGGGGTCGGCCTAGGAAAGGTTGGAGGGAGGGGGTAAAGGTTTTGTGTGCGAGGGGCTTGGACTTCCAGCAGGCATGCGTGAGCGTGTTTGATGAGTGAATGGAGACAAATGGTTTTTAATACTTGACGTGCTGTTGGAGTGTGAGCAAAGTAACATTTATGAAGGGGTTCAGGGAAACCGGCAGGCCGGACTTGAGTCCTGGAGATGGGAAGTACAGTGCCTGCACTCTGAAGGAGGGGTGTTAATGTTGCAGTTTAAAAACTGTAGTGTAAAGCACCCTTCTGGCAAGACAGTGATGGAGTGAATGATGGTGAAAGTTTTTTCTTTTTCGGGCCACCCTGCCTTGGTGGGAATCGGCCAGTGTGATAATAAAAAAAAAATAAAGGAGATATACTAGGAATACGGTAAAATGAGTTATTTATATTTACATGTGTGTTAGCTAAAAAAATAAAAAATCATTCTCCTCCCGTTCTGTCACCTACTGTGTAGGCAAAATGTTTCATCAATATTCAGTTGTTGCACACGTGTCTTACTCAACCTGTCAGCATTTTATACCATTTTCAACATGGGTCATGTTATTACTGTATTAGACGCATATTTCTTTTCCACAAAATGTCTCCAAAAACCACCCTGCATCTTATAAACTGAGGGTCAGTGACGGGAGCTGTAAGTTTGGGGTGTGGGGTGAGCTGTATCTCTCCCAGTTACATCCGATGCCGAGCTATTAAAACTAAAACAAGTCTTATAAGCCGCGAAATATGGTACTTGCTTGTAATTACCCACTTGTAGCTACAACAGCTGGGTTTCACTCACAGAATTCCATCTTCAATAATGTATGCAAATTTCCAATGGTTTAAACCCTAACTGCATTCTTTTGTGAGTTAGGGTGAGGCAAGTAGCAGGGATAATCGACAAGATTAAAAAAATCTCTCCAGTTCGGGCCCACTTTAGAAACCAAAAAAAGATAGGTTCAATGTTAAAATGTACCTCTCAATAACCTATGTCTACTGTTATGTAGTGTGTATCAGTATTAATCTGCCCAAAATGTACATGCATGTTAGTGGCTTTCTTTGTGCTTAATAATATTCTATTACATGTAAACTACGCTTTGTATATTACACAAAGAAATTATTATAATCAAAGAAAGCGCTAAACCGACAAGGGTCATGCAGTGTACGCAAAGAAATAAAGTTTATTCTTCCTTTTACATAACGATAAGGACTCCAGGACTAATATAGTACTGTATATATTTACGGCCTCAAAGGCCGGGTAGTAGTCCAAGACAAAATTCCATATATTATTATTATAATCAAGGGGGAAGCGCTAAACCCGGAGGATAAAATTGCATATAATCTATGGTTACATGCGCTAGCCAAACACAAAGGTACACAGCACATCAGTGAGGCATCACTGCACTAACACCTGCTATCAAATTATTAAAATCATGGGGAGCACAAACCCGTAGGATTATACAGCGCCAGTGGGGGGATGGAAGGTATTCAGGTTTAATTCAGGGAACTGGAGCACAGGTTCAATTCCCTAGATCAAGAGCCTCTCACCAGCGTCAAGGAACCTATCTTGAGGGGGACCTGCTAGCAAAGCTCTGTTTCTGGGCAGACCATAAACTAAAGCCCTCAAACGTTAAGTTCAGTTAGTCATTACATGAGTAGACCAGCACAAGACAGCGCAGTAGCAATGCATCACAAATCAGTTCATTCAGAAAGAGTATAGTCAGGCAAAATAAGTCTGACTTTTTGTGGGGTTATCCTCAATGTTTAACACTACAATAATTGTACTTATGTCTACTTGTGCCTATATAAACTTGCTTGCTTACTAAGGTAAAAATACTGTGACTATAACAAAACACAAATAACCTGCACATAGGAGAAAGAGACTTGTGACGACATTTCGGTCTGACTGGACCAAATCAGACCAAAACATCATGTCAATTTCTTCTACATACAGGTCATTTGTGTACATTTCATTCAATTTGGGTGGATATACCTGGAAAGAGTTTCGGGGGTCAATGCCCCCACGGTCCAGTCTGAGACCAGCCCTGGATGAACCCAGATTCTTTCATTTAACCCCCTCCACTTACCAAAGATGCATTTTTGCCCACCAAAGTGCTCCATCATTATTACATTCATGGGGGGAAGCATTAAACCTGTAGGGGGGCCACACAGCACCTGTAGGAATGGGAGGAAATCATGTTCAATTAAAGGAATGATCAGGTCCAACTTCTTGGATCAAGAGCCCATCAACAGCATCAAGGAACCTCCCTAGAGGGGCCAAAGAGTTACAATACCAGGGACAGGCTCAAGTTGCAAGCCAAGAGTGTACAGGAACAGTGTACAGGAAATGTTCTAGCCATCATGCAATAATACCAACCAGCAGTGATGTGAGTATGGGTGTGCCAGGATGTGTGTGTGAAGGTTTGAGTGTGAAGGTTACGAGTGTGTAGTTACGTGTGAGTGAAGGTTACGAGTGTGTGAAGGTTACGAGTGTGTAGTTACGTGTGTGTGAAGGTTACGAGTGTGTGAAGGTTACAAGTGTGTAGTTACGTGTGTGTGAAGGTTACGAGTGTGTGAAGGTTACGAGTGTGTGAAGGTTACGAGTGTGTAGTTACGAGTGTGTGAAGGTTACGAGTGTGTGAAGGTTACGAGTGTGTGATGGTTACGAGTGTGTAGTTACGTGTGTGTGAAGGTTATGAGTGTGTAGTTACGAGTGTGTGAAGGTTACGAGTGTGTGATGGTTACGAGTGTGTAGTTATGAGTGTGTGAAGGTTACGAGTGTGTGAAGGTTACGAGTGTGTAGTTACGAGTGTGTGAAGGTTACGAGTGTGTGAAGGTTACGAGTGTGTGAAGGTTACGAGTGTGAGTTACGAGTGTGTGAAGGTTACGAGTGTGTGAAGTGTTACGAGTGTGTGAAGTTACGAGTGTGTGAAGGTTACGAGTGTGTGAAGGTTATGAGTAGTGTGAAGGTTACGAGTGTGTGAAGGTTACAAGTGAGGTGTGAAGGTTACGAGTGTGTGAGGTTACGAGTGTGGTGAGTTAAGAGTGTGTGAAGGTTACGAGTGTGTAGTTACGAGTGTGTGAAGGTTACGAGTGTGTGAAGGTTACGAGTGTGTGAAGGTTACGAGTGTGTGAAGGTTATGAGTGTGTGAAGGCTACGAGTGTGTGAAGGTTATGAGTGTGTGAAGGCTACGAGTGTGTAGTTACGAGTGTGTGAAGGTTACGAGTGTGTGAAGGTTATGAGTGTGTGAAGGTTTAGAGTGTGTGGGAAAGGTTACGAGTGTGTGAAGGTTACGAGTGTGTGAAGGTTACGAGTGTGTGAAGGTTACGAGTGTGTGAAGGTTACGAGTGTGTGAAGGTTACGAGTGTGTGAAGGTTACGAGTGTGTGAAGGTTACGAGTGTGTGAAAGTTATGAGTGTGTGTGAAGGTTACAAGTGTGTGAAGGTTACAAGTGTGTGAAGGTTAGAGTGTGTTGAAGGTTACGAGTGTGTGAAGGTTATGAGTGTGTGAAGGTTATGAGTGTGTGAAGGTTAGAGTGTGTGAAGGTTACGAGTGTGTGAAGTTACGAGTGTGTGAAGGTTACGAGTGTGTGAAAGTTATGAGTGTGTGTGAAGGTTACGAGTGTGTGAAGGTTACGAGTGTGTGTGAAGGTTATGAGTGTGTGAAGGTTATGAGTGTGTGAAGTTAGAGTGTGTGAGGTGAGTTGACGGAAGTGGTGTGTGAAGGTTACGAGTGTGTGAAGGTTATAGTGTGTGAGTTGAGTGTGTGAAGGTTAGATGTGTGGTGAAGGTTATGAGTGTGTGAAGGTTATGAGTGTGTGAAGGTTATAGTGTGTGAAGTTAGAGTGTGTGAAGGTTATACGAGTGTGTGGTTAAAGTGTGTGAAGGTTACGAGTGTGTGAAGGTTATGAGTGTGTGAAGGTTATGAGTGTGTGAAGGTTATGAGTGTGTGAAGGTTATGAGTGTGTGAAAGTTATGAGTGTGTGAAGGTTATGAGTGTGTGAAGGTATGAGTGTGTGAAGGTTACGAGTGTGTGAAGTTACGAGTGTGTGAAGGTTACGAGTGTGTGAAGGTTATGAGTGTGTGAAGGTTACGAGTGTGTGAAGGTTATGGAGTGTGTTTAAGGTTACGAGTGTGTGAAGGTTACGAGTGTGTGAAGGTTACGAGTGTGTGAAGGTTACGAGTGTGTGAAGGTTACGAGTGTGTGAAGGTTATGAGTGTGTGAAGGTTACGAGTGTGTGAAAGTTATGAGGTGTGTGAAGGTTACGAGTGTGTGAAAGGTTAGAGTGTGTGAAGGTTACGAGTGTGTGAAGGTTACGAGTGTGTGAAGTTACGAGTGTGTGAAGGTTACGAGTGTGTGAAGGTTACGAGTGTGTGAAGGTTACGAGTGTGTGAAGGTTATGAGTGTGTGAAGGTTACGAGTGTGTGAAAGTTATGAGTGTGTGAAGGTTACGAGTGTGTGAAGGTTACGAAGTGTGTGAAGGTTACGAGTGTGTGAAGGTTATGAGTGTGTGAAGAGTTATAGAGTGTGTGAAGGTTACGAGTGTGTGAAGGTTACGAGTGTGTGAAGGTTAGAGTGTGTGAAGGTTACGAGTGTGTGAAGGTTACGAGTGTGTGAAGAAGTTAGGTATGTGTGTGAAGGTTATGAGTGTGTGAAGGTTACGAGTGTGTGAAGGTTACGAGTGTGTGAAGGTTACGAGTGTGTGAAGGTTATGAGTGTGTGAAGGTTACGAGTGTGTGAAGGTTACGAGTGTGTGAAGGTTACGAGTGTGTGAAGGTTACGAGTGTGTGTGAAGGTTACGAGTGTGTGAAGGTTACGAGTGTGTGAAGGTTATGAGTGTGTAAGGTTATGTAGAGTGTGTGAAGGTTACGAGTGTGTGAAGGTTACGAGTGTGTGAAGGTTACGAGGTGTGTGAAGGTTATGAGTGTGTGAAGGTTGATTGTGAGGTTAGAGTGTGTGAAGGTTAGAGTGTGTGAAGGTTACGAGTGTGTGAAGGTTATGAGTGTGTGAAGGTTATTTGAGTGTGTGAAGGTTATGAGTGTGTGAAGTTACGAGTGTGTGAAGGTTACGAGTGTGTGAAGGTTACGAGTGTGTGAAGGTTATGAGTGTGTGAAGGTTATGAGTGTGTGAAGGTTAGAGTGTGTGAAGGTTATGAGTGTGTATGAGGTTATAGTGGTGAAGTTGTGTAGTTAGAGTGTGTGAAGGTTAGAGTGTGTGAAGGTTATGAGTGTGTGAAGGTTATGAGTGTGTGAAGGTTATGAGTGTGTGAAGGTTATGAGTGTGTGAAGGTTATGAGTGTGTGAAGGTTATGAGTGTGTGAAAGTTACGAGTGTGTGAGGTTATGAGTGTGTGAAAGGTTAGAGTGTGTGAAGGTTTTGAGTTGTGTGAAGGTTATTGGAGTGTGTGTGAAGTTACGAGTGAGTTGTTGTGAAGGTTATGAGTGTGTGAAGGTTACTGATGTGTGTGAAGGTTATGAGTGTGTGAAGGTTAGAGTGTGTGAAGGTTTGAGTGTGTGAAGGTTAGAGTGTGTGAAGGTTACGAGTGTGTGAAGGTTACGAGTGTGTGAAAGTTACGAGTGTGTGAAAGTTGTATGAGTGTGTGAAGGTTAGAGTGTGTGAAGTTAGAGTGTGTGAAGTTACGAGTGTGTGAAGTTAAGTGTGTGAAGGTTACGAGTGTGTGAAGGTTATGAGTGTGTGAAGGTTACGAGTGTGTGAAGTTGTTGAAAGTTATGAGTGTGTGAAGGTTAGAGTGTGGAAGTATGAGTGTGTGAAGGTTACGAGTGTGTGAAAGGGTTATGAGTTGTGTGAAGTTAGAGTGTGTGAAGGTTAGAGTGTGTGAAGGTTACGAGTGTGTGAAAGTTACGAGTGTGTGAAAGTTACTGTAGTGGTGTGAAGGTTACGAGTGTGTGAAGGTTACGAGTGTGTGAAGGTTACGAGTGTGTGAAAGTTACGAGTGTGTGAAGGTTAGAGTGTGTGAAGGTTACGAGTGTGTGAAGTTACGAGTGTGTGAAGGTTAGAGTGTGTGAAGGTTAGAGTGTGTGAAGGTTACGAGTGTGTGAAGGTTAGAGTGTGTGAAAGTTACAGTGTGTGAAGGTTGAGTGTGTGAAGGTTATAGTGTGTGAAGTTAAGTGTGTGAAGGTTATGAGTGTGTGAAGGTTACGAGTGTGTGAAGGTTATGAGTGTGTGAAGTTATGAGTGTGGTGAAGGTTACGAGTGTGTGAAAGTTATGAGTGTGAGTAAGGTTAGTTAAGTGTGTGAAGGTTACGAGTGTGTGAAGGTTATGAGTGTGTGATAGAGGTAAGGTACGAGTGTGTGAAGGTTATGAGTGTGTGAAGGTTATGAGTGTGTGAAAGTTACGAGTGTGTGAAGGTTATGAGTGTGTATTAGAGTGTGTAAGGTTAGAGTGTGTGAAGGTTACTGAGTGTGTGTAAGGTTAAGTGTGGAGTATATGTGTGAAGGTTAGAGTGTGTGAAGGTTACGAGTGTGTGAAAGTTACAAGTGTGTGAAGGTTAGAGTGTGTGAAGTAGAGTGTGAGTTACGAGTGTGTGAAGGTTACGAGTGTGTGAAGGTTAGAGTGTGTGAAAGTTACAGATGTGTGAAGGTTACGAGTGTGTGAAGGGTTACGAGTGTGTGAAGTTACGAGTGTGTGAAGTTAGAGTGTGTGAAGGTTACGAGTGTGTAAGTTACAGTGTGTGAAGGTTACGAGTGTGTGAAGGTTATGAGTGTGTAAAGTTGAGTGTGAGTAGAGTGTGTGATAGGTTTGAGTTAAGTGTGTGAAGTTGAGTGTGAAAGTTAGTGTGTGAAGGTTATGAGTGTGTGAAGGTTATGAGTGTGTGAAGTTACGAGTGTGTGAAGGTTATGAGTGTGTGAAGGTTATGAGTGTTGTGAAGGTTAATGAGTGTGTGAAAGTTAGAGTGTGTGAAGTTATGAGTGTGTGAAGGTTAGATGTGTGAGGTTACGAGTGTGTGAAGGTTACGAGTGTGTGAAAGTTACAGTGTGTGAAGTTATGGTGTGTGAAAGTTAGAGTGTGTGAAGGTTACGAGTGTGTGAAGGTTACGATGTGTGTGAAGTTATGAGTGTGTGAAAGTTAGAGTGTTGTGAAGGTTACGAGTGTGTGAAGTTACGAGTGGTGTGAAAGTTACAGTGTGTGAAGTTATGAGTGTTGAAGGTTACATTGTGTGAAAGTTCATAAGTGTGTGAAGGTTAATGATTTATGTGTGAAGGTATAGTGTGTGAAAGTTATGAGTGTGTGAAAGTTAAGTTAGTAATTTTATGAGTTGGAAAGTTCACAGTGTGTGAAGGTTATGGTTTAAGGTTATGAGTGTTGAAAGTTACAAGTGTTGAAGGTTATGATGTTGAAGTTTGAGTGTGTGAAAGTTACAAGTGTGTGAAGGTTATGAGTGTGTTGAATTATAGTGTGCTGAACAGTTACAGTGTGTGAAGGTTAATGAGTGTGTGAAAGTTACAGTGAGCAATGTAGGAAGTTATGAATGGTGAGGTTACTCGTTCAATTAACCAATGTTTAAGTTCCATAGAATTTAATTCTTAGTTAAAGTAGTAGTTTGCAACTTTGTACCAAAGATTGGTATAGATATGTAGTAAAAGTTAGATTCTGTTAAGATGGTGAGAGTCATGTATATTGGGGATCAAATTATAATTAGCTTAAGTCCCTCTGACATGGAGTGCATTACAGCCTCTCCTCACTTAGCAACGTACACGTTTACCAACGACTCGGACTTACGACTGGCTCTCTGACCAGTATGCATACCTAAGTAATGTATATTATAGCTGATTTCCTCTATTCTGTTAATTACAATATACAGTACACAACTGTATTAACATTTAAACATATACTAGAAATGTTATAAATGGCACAAAGGTGACATTAAAACATCAAAGATGGCTGACACAAGCCCACTACCATTACAGTATACATTACTCCTTGCTTAGCAATGAATTCATTTACCAATGTGGTCTTGGGAACGGAACTCCATCGTTAAGTGAAGAGAGGCTGTAATGCGCTGTACGTCAAGGGGACTTAAAGCTAAATAATTTGATCCAATAGTAATATCTTCATCCTCTAAACATAATTTTTACTTTGATCCACTCTGTTCTTCATATATACAAAAAAAAGAGTGACTGCTATCTCTCCTCTGGAGCCTTGGCCCTTGTGGCTCAAGTGGTAGCACTTTCAGCTCACAACTGAAGAATCCAAGTTAGAATCCAGTGAGTGGAAATTCTGAGCATGTTCCCTTACACGTGTAACCTTAGTTCACCTAGACGTAGATACCTGGGTGTTCATCTACTGTTGTTGGTTGCATCCTGGGGAAGAGGAACACAAGCCACTATTGGAAATTAACAAATAGGTCTCTTGGGCTATTCTAGGTTATTAACCCTGGGTTAATAATCCATCTTCAACAATATAATTAGTCAGTTTAAACTCATATAAACACCACTGAATGAATGCGAGATGTAGAGCGATGAAGTGAATAAAATTGACTCGGTGAATGTGAGATCGAGTGAGAGAAATGAGTACAAGTGAGAGAGAGTACAAGTACACAAGTGTGAGTACTCACCTCACTGTGTTTGCAGTGAATAAGTCATAGCTTTGGGCCATGCCTTAACTCTCTCATCAACTGGTTTTACTGATTTTTGGTCTCAAATGTCTCATCATGCCTACTCTTGAAACTTTCTAGTATTTCCTTTTACATCAACTATAAGACTCCACTTACTCGCCATCATAAGACTGGTTAAGTACTTTGTAACATCCATCATTATCTTCAGTTGGCCTCTATGTCTCTGGCTGACTCTATATCTAAAACAGCCTGTGCCTATCCAACCTATCTAGTCCTCTGAAAAGCTCCAGCTGCAGGTCATAATGTGACCAAGACCTGCATCAGGCAACACATGTCCTGTTTCCTGACAAACCTAATGTAACCTAACCTAACCTGTGTGATTTGCACAGTATTCCATTGACTATCATTTTTTAAGTGTAAGCCATGCGTGTCATATGAGGCGACTAAAATACTGGGAGCAATGGGCTAGTAACCCCTTCTCCTGCAGAAGGGGTTTTTACGAGGATTGTGAGGCTCAGGTTAGAGTATGTAGGAGAGAGGGAGATTATTTCCTGGTAAAAGTAGGCCTTAGAAAAGGATGTGGGGTTAAAAGATAAAGAATCTAACACAAAGTGGGAGTTGTCACAGTTGCTCTTTGCTGATGACACTGTGCTTTTAGGGGATTCTGAAGAGAAGTTGCAGAGGTTGGTGGATGAGTTTGGTAGGGTATGTAAAAGAAAATTTAAAGTGAATATAGGAAAGTCAGGTGATGAGGATAACAAAAAAATTAAGTAAATGCAGACTGAATATCAGGTTGGAGGGAGAGAGTATGGAGGAGGTGAATGTATTCAGATATTTAGGAGTGGACGTATCAGATGGGTCTACGAAAGATTAGGTGAATCACAGAACTGACGAGGGGAAACAGGCGAGTGGTGCACTGAGGAGTCTGTGGAGACAAAAATCTTTGTCCATGGAAGCAAAGAGGGGAATGTATGAGAGTATACTTATACCAACCCTCTTACATTGGTGTGAAGCATTGGTGGTGAATGTTGCAATAAGAAGGCTGGAGGCAGTGGAGATGTCGTGTCTGAGGGCAATGTGTTGTGTGAATATAATGCAGAGAATTCGTAGTTTGGAAATTAGGAGGAGGTGCTGGATTACCTGAACTTTTATCCAGAGGGCTGAGGAGGGGTTAAGGTGGTTCGGGCATGTTGAGAGGATGGAACAAAATAGAATGACTTTCAGTGTATCTGTAGTGAAGGGAAGGCAGGGGTAGAGGTCAGCCTAGGAAAGGTTAGAGGGAGGGGGTAAAGGTTTTGTGTGCAAAAGATTTGGATTTCCAGTAAGCATGCATGAGTATGTTAGATAGGAGTGAATGGAGACAAATGGTTTTTAGGACGACATGCTGTTGGAGTGTGAGCAGGGTAATATTTATGAAGGGATTCAGGGAAACCAGCAGGCCAGACTCGAGTCCTAGAGATGGGAAGTACAGTGCCTGCACTCTTAAGGAGGGGTGTTAATGTTGCAGTTTTATAACTGTAGTGTAAACGCACCTCTGGCAAGACAGTGGTGGAGTGAATAATGCTGAAAGTTTTTCTTTTTCGGGCCACCTTGCTGGGAAACAGCCAATGTGTTAATAAAAAAAATAAATAAATAAATAACAAAAAATCTATCATTAGCATTTTTCTCAAGTGTCTCCTCATAATCCAAACTACTCAATTGCAGTATTATTCTTGTTACAAGACTTTGGCTATTTTTTAATTTCGTTGTAATTGTATCTAGGAATCTGTTGCTACACTCAAAGAATAATTTTTTTTTCAATCATTTCTATCCAGGTGACCTGCAAATGTGACTTGACAAAAATATTGGCATAGCATGTAGCAATACACAAATAACCCATACAGTTAGTGTGACTTTGTAAATGGTCTAAATCAAACCAAAACATTGTTGTAAACTCCTCCCTCTTGTGTGCAGATTATTTGTGTACTGTTCTAGTCATGGTATTTAAAGTTTTTTTCTTAATAGCAAGTAGCAAATGTCTCGTCATACAAGAAATTGAGGACTTCCATACCGCTATTGGTGATAATTATCAACAAATTGGGACTTTCTTACCTCTAGAAATGATAGGTCTGTCGCAGCACACTACTTGTAGCCGGCTGCTCTAACACCTAGTACGCGGTAATGTCTCGAGTTTTTAATTTCATGTGAAGTACTAAACCCGTGTGGGTTATTCAGCTGGTGGAGGCTTGATCCTCCACCAGTCAGTCTCAGGAAAGAGTCCTAGCATATGGAAAACCTCTATTCCAAGAGGACTTTCAAGGGTGGGGCAAGTATTGCTATACTGGAGGAGGACAAACTTAGGAGTGGCTGTCAGTTGGAAGGGATCTAGGAGACCTGTTCCAAAGCAACATTATTATCTGGGGAGGCTTTGAGAAAATGAGGGAATTTCTGAGGACGTTTAACCCCCCCAAGTGTCCCCTGGTGCCACTCTGGCATTACAGCACTTCAGTGACACATATATCTGTTCAGTGACAAATGCAGTACCTGACTAATTACATTTTACTCCAAAGACATTTTTTCCAATTTACAAATTCACATATATGCACTTTCATTATTTTTCCATGCCTTCGCGATACGTTTCTTTATCCACTCGTATACAAACATGGAACATTTATACGGATGCATGATGACAATCACATACATGCAGTATTTTTGTGATAATACTTCAAAGTAATATTAAATGTGCCAAGTTACCGTTCTCTACACTGGTTCGGTAGGGAAACACTACATTTTTATAGAATATAAAAATTTTATTAAACAAAAAGAAAACATACAAAGAGACGCAAGGAGCCTGTCTAAAAGACGTCTAAAAGATAACAAAGGCATGGTTCCGGACATTAAAATTCTGAAGAGGGCACTAAATAAATGCATTCTTTAGTACATACATTAAAACAGCGAGGCTTCAGGAAATGCTTCATCAAGTCACGGTGTTTTAATATCGTTCACTTCAAAACAGAGAAACCAAATTTTCTTACTACCAGCCATCAGCTTATTCTATAAAGGTGATAAACCGGAACCATGCCACTTACACTTTTTGTCTATTGTAACTCGAACTGGAATTGCAATATTTATTTTCAGGAAAGTCCAAGTATTACATTAACCCAAAATAGATGATTTTTGGTTTGCACATTCTATCATAAATAATTTTATACAACATTAGCATCATCATTTAAAAATATTAAGTACTCTGATATAAAACATTGCATACTAATTATACAAGATAAATTAAGAAAAATTTTTTACGACAATTTTATGTTACTGTTACCCCAACTGTAATGCTTGACTGTCCCTAAATAACGAGTACAGAGAGTATGTGAATATTTTTGTACACTACCAGCTATCTGTCCATAGCTTCCCATTAAGACTAAAACTTTATTTCCTGACATTTAAGTAAATAGACACTATATTAATGTGTATTTGCAAAATTGAGGTTTTAACATGCTAATGAAGCTTCACTGGGTTTCAGAACTTAATTTTGTTACTCAAATATCAAAAGGAATTTTATATTACATGTACATGATAGAAAACCAGAATGATAGAGACAGAACTAGTTAGTATTAGTTCGTGTTAGCAATGTCACTTGTTGTGGCTATGTCATATGATGTGCCCATCATGGAAAATGAAAAGGGAATTACGTGAAAAACAGGAATTTTATCGAGACATTTTACCTGTCCGCAGGCGAAATGTCTCGATAAAGTTCGCCTCTACAACTGGGTCTTTCTCGCCATCAATTGGCTTTGCACCAGTCGTCTCTGGTATGGGAAAAGTGAGGGGTGGGGGAGGGTAACCAGGTTTGATCCATGGAAGGGGGGGGCAGTGCCACTTTACACAATAATGATGCTGGTTTCTTTGTTAATGCTTTTCCATCATTTTTCACATTTATTGGAAAGTTTTCAAAATCAACAGCATAAATGAGCCAGTTCATTCTGCCTCATTTATCATGTTACAACCTCTCTCATGCTTGTTCGCTTATATGTATATGCACAAATATACTACTAGTAATATTACATAGACCCCTAAGAGTGAAAACTATTTCTGACTGATGAAGGACTTAATTTCTAGTGTAGTAAGAAACATAAGTGCAGAGGAGCCGAGAACTCTTATTAACGTCAAAAGGTTTCAGATTCTTTTTTAAGCTACTCCTCATTGGAGCTGAGAACTCTTATTTACGTCAAAAGGTTTCAGATTCTTCTTTAAGCTACTCTTCATTTTGCAAGCTGAAAATATGATTTAGCTGCTTAAAATTGACCGTTCTTTAAACATGATCTTCTCTGTCTCAATATGACTGTTTATCCTAAGAAATAGCATAGGTAGACTATGCTGAACAATTAGCAAAATGAGAGAAATTGAAGTATTTAAAGACATTATATCAGACCAGAGCAAGACTTGAATCTGAGCACTTTGTATCGACATACAGTATGCACTACTATACTGTTCAGTATGTGGAGTCTGGCTAAGTGATATAACACAGGCGCCCTTGGTTTACTATGGGGTTACCTTCTGACAAACCCACCATAAGTCAAAAATATCGTAAGTCAAATATGAATATATGCTCAATAAGTAAGTAAATAACTACTATTACTGGATAAGTAAATAAACAAATAATTACTGTAACTAAATACCAGTACTAAAAAGTAAATATATGAATACAAGTTACGGACTTGCTGGTTTTATGTTGGGTAATTATCACGAGTTTTGTCACCAAAGTACAGTGGAGCCGCGGTTTATGATCACCTCCCAATGCGACCAATTATGTAAGTGTATTTATGTAAGTGGGTTTGTACGTGTATGTTTGGGGGTCTGAAATGGACTAATCTAATTCACAATATTCCTTATGAGAACAAATTCGGTCAGTACTGGCACCTGAACATACTTCTGGAATGAAATATCGTAATCCGGGGGTCCACTGTAATTGCTTTTGCACCATCACAAATCAAGGAGCACCTGTACCTTGATGCAGAGTGCACAGTCGTGCCCTGGTCTGTGGTAATGTTTGTAAATAGGTAGACTATACTTAGGATGCCCAAAGTTTTCCAATATTTCTACTTTCTTTTATAACAAAGAAAGTATTTAAGATAATTAAAAACTTAAAAAAAAAAAAATTAGATGTATAGTGAATATGTGAATAAGTGCCTTTTATATAACCCCCTTCGTGAAGAAATACAATCAGCAAAAAATCTATTAGAAGAGGTGTTGCAAGTGACAAGCCCAGGTTTATAATGTATAACATCAAACTAATATACTATTAATCCTTTCCTCTTACAAGAAGGCCATTCATTTCTTAAATAGCATAGTTAATTAGCACACAATATTGCCTACCATAAATAGATTACAGAATCACAGACATATTTTTCTCTATAAATAATATATTTAGGCTTATTTGCCTAGGGAGACACCATGGCATTGGAGTTACTAAGGTAAACCTTCGATTCAACGGAATACAAGGGGGTAGTGGATGGCTGGCATGGTGATTGTGGTGGACAGAGATGAGATTGCTTCCCCTGTGATCGTAGCAATAACGAACAATTCTGGAGCCAATAGACCTCATCCCTTGTTTCCAAATCAACTGATCCAGCGGTTTCCATTCGTATTTTCCAAGCCCCTTAAATCGAGTCCATTAAATCGAGAGTTTACTGTAATCATCTTTCAAACAGGTGAAGACGTATTGAAGCCTAGCATTGGTCATTAAGGAGGTCGCTACTGATATGATATATTTGAGGAGTCACTTCAAGACTCGAAAATTGAACATCCTTTTCCAGGATGTTGCTGTAACTTCATGCAAAATAATCTGAAATATTTCTTTTTTTTTTAAATTTTCTAGTTTGCCGTATCAGGTCCTACTCATTTACCTAATACAAATCAAGCAAGTGCAGTAAAGGCGTCCTTCGCTTTATGCAGTGGACGAGTTTCAAGTCCCACTGTACTTCTATGTAGCTCAATTGTGTTATTAACACTTGATTCCATCAAGTCATCAACGTACTTCGCGGACCTCGCTCGTCACTTGCTGTGAGTGCAGATCACACGTACAGATTTACTGATAGAAATAGGGCCTCGCATAATAGTGAATTTGCATAAAATGAGGGAACACCTGCATACTATCAAATTCTTATGATTTTCAGTTGTGTTGGCTTAAGGTGTTTATTTCAGTAGCCAGTAGCATTAAGATACATTAACTGATTTGCTTTTCTTCTAGTTATATTGTTCATATCTACAATTACCAAGAAATGTATCACGTAAATACGTTGCTTAAGAGTATCTCTTCTTCCTTAAGAATGGCACAGCCATATTAATTGAAATTCCCACAAATAAAAGAATTTTAACCTTACTGCTTTAAAATAGTTCATACCGTACTTACCGGTAAATATTAGCATTCTGTTGAATTACATTTTAAGTACTGTTCACGGTTTGCCACTGGACTTTGGCTACAATGACCACAATGTTCGAACGTGTTCCCACTGAGCATATGCATATGGTGGTTGGTAAGTCTGCTGTATTAACAATTTTCCATTTTCCTCGTATTCAAATGGCTTTTTATCGGTCTGGACTTCTACATTATTAGTTATAGGTACTTGCTCAGTCTGAGGCTGCTGTACAGGTTTAGGGAACTCCACCTGCTCTAGGGTTCTCCGCTCACTGTGCACAAATCTGTGGCTGTTGAGATGGCTCTCGTGTGTGAAGCGTTTGTGACAAACTTCACATTCAAACTTTTTCTCTTCACTATGTACATAGCTGTGGCTAGTAAGGTAACTTTCATGCGAGAAACGCTTTCCGCAGACATCACATGCAAACCTTTTCTCCTCACTGTGTACAAATCTATGGCTATTTAAATGACTCTTCTGTGCAAAGCGCTTGCCGCATTCTTCACACTCGAACCTTTTTTCATCAGTGTGTATGAATATTTGACCATTTACCTGGCTTTTCTGAGTAAACCTTTTTCCCCATTCCTGACATTCAAGTTTTATTTCCTCATTATGCATAAACCTATGGCTGTTGAGATGAAGTTCTTGCATAAATCGTTTCCCACAGATTTCGCATTCAAATTTCTTTTCTTCACTGTGCACATACCTATGGCTACTAAGATGGCTTTCCTGGGAAAATCGCTTCCTGCACACCTCGCATTCAAAATTTTTCTGTTGTGTGTGGACAAACCTATGACTGTTAAGATGGCTACTCTGCTTATATCGTTTTCCACAAATATCACATTCAAATTTCTTCTCACTGTGCACAAGCATGTGGCTGTTCAGGTGACTTATCATATTAAAGCGTTTGCCACACAAAACGCACTCAAACTTTTTCTCATTGTGTACTAACATGTGGCTGTTGAGGTGACTTTCCATATTAAATCGTTTCCCACATAACAAACATTCGTATTTCCTCTCTTCACTGTGCACTAACATATGACTATTAAGATGGCTTTCCATTAAAAACTGTTTGCCACATATTTCACACTCAAAGTTTTTTTCACTACTGTGCATGACCATATGGCTGTTTAAATGGATCTCCATGTAAAATCGTTTTCCACATAAATTACACTCAAACTTTTTCTCATTATGGACGAGCATATGGCTATTGAGATGACTCTCCATACTAAACCTTTTACCACACAGCAAGCACTCAAACTTCTTTTCACTGTTATGTACTAGCATATGACTGTTTAGGTGACTTTCCATATTGAATCGTTTATCACACAGAGTACACTCAAACTTTTTCTCCTCACTGTGTACCAGCATGTGGCTATTGAGGTGGTTCTCCATGTGAAAGCGCTTCCCACACAGCACACATTCATATCTCTTTTCTTCACTGTGTACGAGCATGTGACTATTTAAGTGGTTTTCCATGTTGAATCTTTTGCTACACAATGTACACTCAAACTTCTTATCTGTGCTGTGTTTCAGCATATGACTGTTTAAGTGGCTTTTCTGACTGTACCTTTTATGACACTTTCCACACTCGTATTTTTTTTCCTGATTGTGCACAAGCATGTGACTATTAAGGTGATTCTCCATAGAAAATCTCTTATCGCAAATCTTACATTCAAACTTTTTTTCAGTAATATGAACAAGCATATGACTATTTAAATAGTTTTCCATAGCAAATCGTTTCCCACAAACCTGGCATTCAAATTTCTTCTCTCGGTTATGCTCGTGCATGTGGCCATTGAGATGGCTCTCCATAGTAAAGCGCTTACCACATATCACACATTCGAAGTTCTTCTCCTTACTGTGCCAGAGCATGTGACTAGTAAGGTGACTCTTCTGTGCAAAGCTTCTGCTACAACGATCACAATCGTACGGTTTTTCATCGCCTGTGTTGGTAGCTTCGTCTTTTGTAGCTTCTTTGTTTTTCTGCACAATAAAACTTCCCGAGACTATATTTTTCTGTTCGGGAAAACTTCCAGGCTCTGCATTTTTCTGGACACTAAAACTTCCAGTCTCTGTATTAGTCTGGGCATCGAAATTTTCAGGCTGTACACTTTTCTGAGCTGGAAAGCTTCTAAATTCAGCACTTTTCTGGGCATGGAAATTTCCCAACTCATTATTTTTTTGGATGTGGAAATTACCATAAAACGCTGTACCTGGATGAATGAGAGTCTGTTGTCCCACCACACTACCTGCTGGATTTACACTATGAAATTTTCCTGGATATGGAATGTGTAATCCTTCCATCATGAAGATGGTAGCGTCAAAATTTTATTTTTCCTTTCCTTCCAGCCATTCCTATTTCAGCTCAATAGTGAGAGAGGATTATCACTCATCTTGTCGTCTTCACCTTAGATGTTCAACTTCTTTGTGAACTCGTGAAGATACATCAGTAATCTTGTGTCTGAAACAAATGGCTTACGTTAGCTGATAATGTCAACACAGCAAAACAATTTTCTCTATGGATTGAAAATATTAAATCTAAACTGACAAATCAGTTCTAGTATATACAAAAATTTAAAGATAAAAGTAACAATTTTTTTTAAATAAAAATCTTTCTAAGAACCCAGCCATCTGGTGAGGAAATATGAATATTAAATTAGAAGAATGCATCTCATTATGATTTTGATGAATAGGCTCGGAAAAAATTAATTAATATATGAAGATCTCTTCTTATGGAACTGTTCTCATTGCAAATTTCTGAAAAATAACTAAAATGCCGTCATGGTATAATATTTATATTTTTAACACGCCATCACCTCAAACTTATAGAACATTCAAACAAAATAGTGTAAAAAATAAAAATTATATATTTTCTTTTGTTATATATAGTTCTAAATGAGTATATGGGTTTGTCATATATTCTCAAATCAAGTACAATATATTACAAACACCTAAACTTCAGAATCTTATACTTTCTAAAACAAAAAAAATCGTAATGATCATTTTAAAAATAATAATAATATTAAGTGCTAAACCTGTAAGGGTCATACAGCAATAATCATTTCAATACTCAAAAAATGACATGGTCACTGAGTCTGGAGGAAATCTGATATTTAAAACTGTAATGGTGAGTGGCTCATTTATTGGCCTACCAAGAGGCCTGGTAGGCTTAAGCTGGAAGTAAGGGGAGGCAGGAGAAATGTGTCTTCAAGGCATCTCACTTTTAAAGCAACCATCAACTAACTGCCGCACCAGTGACATCTTCTGTTGAGACATCACGTAAATGTCACCTTCTTCCAAGTGGGTTTTGCTTGTACAATATTTGATATTATTCCCCTCATTTAGCAGTAGACTGCAAAGTACTGTATAATTATGGCAATATTTATAGCCATACATATTGTGTATATGTTGGTGCATAATAAAGCACATAATCAGTGAGTGCTCAACTTAGAGTTAGTTAGGGTATACTACACAACACTGACTATCAATGTCAAAAATAACTCACATTTTTCAAGAAATTTCGGTGCTTAATAAAAGCATTTTACCTCGTAACCTTACGCAACATGTGATTTACAAGACAATGGTCGGTGAAGCATATATCACTACAGAATAAGTGTTAACATGGGTATGACTACTCCATGGGGAGATGGAGAAGAAGCCTTCCTCCGTAAGTCATGCATGTCATAAGAACCGACTAAAATGCTGGGAGCAAGGGACTATTAACACCTTCTCCTGTATAAATTACTAAAAGTGAAAAGGAAAAAAAAAAACTACGTTTCTTCTTTTATGGGTCACCCTACCTCAGTGGGAGATGGCCGATGTGTTAATAAACAAGGGGGCTATGCCTGATGCCACGTGACAGTGGCAAATTTGATCAGATTTTAAGAGGAATTTCAGTGCTTCTCACCAATATTTCATCTCATATCATACATAATATGTGATTTACATGATGGTGAGTGGTAAAGCACATAATTACTAATAGTTTAGTGTTGAAACAGACGTTAAAATAGGTATAGTACCCGATTCCAGGTGGCAATGGTAAAATCTATAATTCTGTAAGGAATTTCAATGAAGATTTTTCAGTAGAGTATTTAACTTAATAACCTTACCCAACACGATATAAATGTTGTGTATGTTTTATTACAGGATAAGAACAACAGGCATTGGTGAGTACCAGTTTATATTTAGTCAGTAATATTTTGTTTTGAAAATGTACACTTACTAATTTCTCACACATTTTTTGGGTAAGTTAGATTGGGTGGACTCAAACTTCGTGCTTCTGGTCCAAATCGATACAAAATTTTGGTGTTTGACAATACATACTGAAGTGAAAGTGTCTTAATGGTGTGACTTTTAGGAAAGAAGACCTGTTATATAGGAAAATTTTCTATAAGTTTCTTTGCCTGAAGCTTCTGAACAGAGTAAACTACATACCTGCTTCACAATTTTTCTATATTCCAATATTTATGAAGTTCATAACTACAGTATTCTTTGATCTTCCACCTTTTTTGCCAAGGTTTATTGCATCCTTTGCATTCTCAAAATATCTAAAGGGGGCGCCCTACTTCTTTTTCTCTCTCTCTCTCCTATCGTCAGTTAAAATCCAGTGTTTTTTGTCGTAAAAAGCCGCTAAAAAAGCCTGAAAACTCAACCATAAAAATAAATTCTGTAAATTTTAGGCAAAATATATATCTTTTGATGTGTAAATCAGTGAAAGATTTACATGTATTTTGAGAATAACATACGGTGATGTACTAGGCTAGATATTATTATTTTAAGAAAGTCTGAAGTAGAGAAAACAGTCTGCCTATCATTACTCAGAAGAAAAAAAATATTACAATAATTTCAATTGTATTATGACTAAGAAACCGACCAGGGCAGCCATAGTCCCATAAAACAACAAAACAATACCTGGTGAAAGGCATTTTTTAAGTTTATTTAGAATCTAAGTAATTATAGTAGCTGAATACAGTGGAACCTCGGTACTCAAACAGCTCCCTACTCGAACAATTCGGTATTCGAATGCTTTGTTCGGTAAAAAAAAAATCGTTCAGTAGCTGACAGTTCGCTCGGCACTCGACCAAACAAACACGACCTGCCAGAACTTCAATGCAAACTATTTCATGTTTCTTCGCATTTTTTGGTGTTTTTATATTATTTGTATAAATAAGTCACCATGGGGCCTACGAAGACTAGCGATAACAGCCAACTTATAAAATAAAATTGGTTGGGAAAAATATGTTCAATACTCGAACAGATCGGCACTCGAACGGCCTTCTGGAACCAATTAAGTTTGAGTACCAAGGTTCCATTGTATGTTGATGGGTAACATTAGAATGTTTCCCAAACATTCTGCACCTACAAGTATTGAATGTTTCTTGATGTTGAGTAATATGAAACAGCTAGCGAGTGCTAGCGGCTTACCTGTGCACTGTATATGCTTTAACTGTCATAAAATCGGCAAGTTATCTTCCTAAAATTACTGTATATAAAAAATTTAAAGCACTTCCCATTTTAACTTTTTTTTTCATTGGCAATAACTCAAAAAATGTAAGAGCTATGCAGTAGGGCTATTGGTCCATGCTTGTCAGGTCAAATTTTCACAGCCAACCACAAGACTCACACACACTCACCATATATTTCAAGTTACCTAGAGTCCTTGCTTCACTGATGCTACCTTCAAGTTCCATTCATCTTAAACTACTGCCAAATTGGTACTCCCTATAATTTTTCTATACCTAAATTTGTCCAACTTGAAGCCTTTGCTGCAAATATTGTCTAGGTTAGATATTTTTAGCACATTTCTTATATCCCTTTTGTTCACTCCTGTTTTCCATTTATACACTTCATTTACCCCCTAATTCTACATCTTTCTAGGGTTCAAATTCAGTGCCTTCAGTTTTTCCTCATAAGAAAGATTTTTCATGCTTGGACTCAACATCATCCTTCTCTGTACATTTATGTCATTCTGTAATATGGAGACCAGAACTATGCAGCATTATGTAAATGAGGCATTATCAAGAATATATTAAGTAGAATTTTAAGCTTGGGACTTTATTTATACTGATATGAAGCCAAGTACGTATTCTATAAACTTTACTGTGAATATATATGTACTGTTGTCTCAGCTTAAATTTCTGTTACCCAGAAATCCTAAATTTTTTTCATATTCAGTTGATATTGCATTGTATCTGCCACCTCTCTGGCTACATCAACCTATCCAGGCCATCTTGTAGCTTTCTAATGTCCTCATCAGGAATTCATTAGTGGCCTATCTCAATGTCATCAGCAAGCTTGCTTGTGTCTCTTATTATTCCCACATCAATGTTATTTATGAAGACTGTAAACAGCAAGAGTCGCAGTACTGACCCCTGTGGTACACCCCCCTCTTGTAATGGGTCCCCATTCTGATTTCTTTTCATTTGCATACACTGTTGCCTATTGGTCAGCCATGCAATCATCCAGGAGATAATTTCTCCTATACCATGTGTTCCTACTTTCTTTATCAATCAACTGTTTGGGACTCTATCAAATGCCTTACTGAAGTCCATATATGTAATACTGCATTAACTTTGACCACCTCGAATACCTTAGTGAAAAAGGTTAGTAAATTTGTAACTAACGATTCTGTCAACTTCCCTACAAAAGAGGTTAGGCTGATTGGTTTATAATTTGAATGTAAGAAAACACATTCACCATCACTTATTCAACAGCTGTCTTGGCAGAAGTGTATCCACCACAATTCAAATGATCCTCTGCATTGCAATTCTCGACCTAACCTTTACAGTGCAAGCACTGCCCTTTCCATCTCCAGAACTTAAGTTCCAATAACCACTTTTCATTGAATCCCTTCAAAAATGTTATCTTGGTGACACTCCAACAGCAAACCAAATCCCAAAATTTACTCGTTTCCTATCACTCTACTCAAATGCACTCACATATTCCAACTGGATGCTCAAGCCCCTGCCACTTAAAACCTCATCCACATCCTCCTTCCAACCCTCCAGGGGTATCCCCTACTTGTTCATTCATCTCAGTTTTATACTATACCATCTTTTGGTCAATTTGTCCTGTCAGGAAACATTGTCCTGTTTCCACACAAACCTTACCTAAGCTAACCTAAATTGACCCGTCCTACACCAATAGCCAAAGCATCTCGGTAACTCCTTCTCCCCCTTTATGATCATTCATAACACCATACTTAATTCCTTCAATCTTTATTCTCTGCATAATATTTGCACCATACACTAATCTCAAACATCTACACTGACTTAAGTCTCCCTTTTACCACAACATTCACATCATGCTTCATACGTATACAAAAGTGTTGCACATACTCCGATGCATTTCCATATTTTGCGTCCAACGACAGACTGTCTTTTCCCGGGTAGTTCAATACTCCATCTATCTTTCTTCCTTTGTCTATCCTAGGATTCACATCATCTTTCATACACTCACTCC